CATAATCCAACTCCAAAGCCCTCTGTGTTCCCCAACATTTTTTTCTACCTCTATGTAGTTGCCTCCACTCAGAAAGCTTCCTAGCCCTTCTCAGTATCTTGCTGAAATTCTGTATCTTTCAAGCTCTCTTCCACAGCTTGTCCTGGTCCCCAAACTGGATCTTGTCCTGCTTCACAGCAGTCTTTAAACCATCTTTGGGCATTTATTTTATGCCATGCAGGAGTTAGTGGATGATGATCGACAGGCTCCCACCTTCCACCAGTTCTGTGGTAGGTCCTGGGCAGGCGTCAGAGCTCTTGAGCAGCTGACACACGACCACACAGTTGTAGCAGAGAGGCACACATTGTTATGAATTATTAATGTCCATTTGTCCCTTTGCAACCTACACTGAAGCAAGATGGAATTGGTAGCATGATAGGCTATCATACTTGGAACCTGGAGATAGAGCTTGGGACTGTTCTACACTGTATGAAATAACCACAGGGTGGTTTGAGGGGACTTACAAGGCTGGGCAAGATCCTAGGCAGAACCTCCTGCAAGCTGGCAAGACCTCAGCTTAAACAGAAGACAGTGCCCACAGCCAAGCTCACCAAAAATAGCCTCTAGCCTTTCAGTGAAAGGGTTAACCAATTCTCAGTACATTTCGATAAAAATGTACCCTCTGTACTGACTCTGGATAAGCGGTCATTTCTAAAACTCTTAAAATTTAGGTGCCATAATCTTCATTTGTTCAATCTCAAACCCAGTTTTCTTTCTTTTTTCTGGAGCTGAGGACCGAACCCAGGGCCTAGCAAGCGCTCTACCACTGAGCTAAACCCCCAACCCCTCAAACCCAGTTTTCTACATGTGAGATAGTTCCAAGATAGATTCAAGAGTGCCTAAAAAAAAATTATTGTTGTTGTTGTTGGAGACAGAGTCTCTCTACACAGCCCTGGCTGTCCTGGAACTCACTATGTTGACCAGAGTGGCCTCAAACTCAGAGATCTGCCTGCGTCTGCCTCCCGTGTGCTAGGATTAAAAGCATGTGCCACCACACCCAGCAAAAGTGTATGAAATTTAAAGTAATTTTTTCCCAAATAGGACAGCAGTCTGATATCCTCAGAACCACCCCTGCCTTGTATGCAATGGTGTCCACTAGAAATGCAGTCACCCGTGAATGGTTGCAGTATTCACTCACTTTGTTGGGGAAAACCACAGGGCAAGGATTTGCTCCATTCAGAAATTAACAAAGCTTCAATTTCCTTGGCAGAGAAAACAAAACAGGCCAAACTGCTTGGTTTAGGCAAGATTTCAAACTTTAATGCTTTGGTAAGAACTGAGTTCAGAGACCACATCTCATTTTTAAGTTCTATAAAGGAAGAGGTGGCTGGGCCTTGTCTGAGGTTGCTGATTTAGGCATCTAAACCATCTGTTGTGGAGTGGAGAGGAACTGGGTGTATGTTTTCATGAAACAGCAGTCAGGAGGAACCACACTCTTTCTCAAGGTCTGGTAACATACCCTTGTAAATCCAGCACTTGCCAGGCTGGGGCAGAAGAACAGCCAAGTTCAAGACCAGCCCGGGCTGGGCTATATACTGATACTGTCTTTAAAAAAATAAAACAAACAAAGGTGAGCTAAGAAATAACCAACCGTAAATGCCTGAGAGAATAGCTCAGTATTTAGTAGACCTGAAGCTTGGCGGGGTTTGGATTGAAATTCCAGCCAGGCAAATACATTTGATCAGTTACACGACAGATTCTCTCGACTGGCCCTTTGGCACATAGATCAGTTCAAAAACTTAAGTCATACATATAACGGGGATAGAAAGCTTCTGAAATTCCTTTCAATATAGATTTTTGTTTCCTAATTATAAAAAGTTCTCGTTGTTATAAGAGACTCTGAAATGAACAAAATAACCGAGAAAATAAAAATGAAAACTGCCCATCTGCTTCACCTGGCCATCCTCGATACTCTGACCTGCCCTGATTTCTCACCTGTCTGGTTCTTTAAGATTCTCTGACGTTCCTGAAAACAACCAGGTTAAAGGGAGAGGCTTACTCTACATTTCAGCTGGATGATTGTGGTGGTATTGTGTTCCCCAAAATATTGTGCACCCTAATAAGCTTATCTGGGGTCAGAGACAGAACAGCCACTAGATACAAAGACTAGAAAATGGTGGCACTCACACCTTTAATCCTAGCACTCCAGAGGTAGAAATCCCTCTGGATCTCTGTGAGTTCAAGGCCACATTGGAAACAGCCAGGCATGGTGATACACGCCTTTAATCCCAGAAAGCGAGCCTTTAATCCCGGGGAGTGGTGGTAGAAAGCAGAAAGGTATATAAGGCGTGAGGACCAGAAACTAGAAGCATTTGGCTGGTTAAGCTTTCAGGCTTCTAGCAGCACAGTTCAGCTGAGACCCATTCTGGATGAGGACTCAGACAGAGGCTTCCAGTCTGAGGAAACAAGATCAGCTAAGAAGTTGGCCAGGTGAGGTTAGCTGTGGCTTGTTCTGTCTCTCTGATCTTCCAGCGTTCACCCCAATAACTGGCCTCAGGTTTCATTTCATTAATAAGATCCATTTAAGATTCCTACTACAGATGATGGCCAGCTTGTTTATGGAGTGCCTAGGCAGAGAGGAATTGCATCACTTCTCCAGGGTACAGCTTTGTGCTATATATACACAACTCCCCTGTTCCCACCACGACATTTTAATAGGTTCCCCAGGCCTCAAGCACACACAGCTTTAGCTCTGTCTGATTAAAATAGCATGGCCTTGGGGGTTAGAGCAGAGCCTAAGTCAGGCAGAAACTTCTGTTGAGGTTTTAGTAGTCAACCCAGTTAAAGTCCTGCTCGTAACTTCTTACTACTCTCGGTATCCCTAATCAGAAAGGGGGAGTCCAGTCAGCAGAAGGAGATGTAAATACAAAACGTTGTTCTGAGTTCTGCAAGGGAGTTGTGGTGACCTGTCAGGGGCTTGGGTGGGCTCCCCTAAGACCTAGAGGTGTTTGAGCGAGAGGTCTGTCGAGAACCTACCCTTTAAAACAAAGATCTGAGTGACTTTAAAAACTGCTTTTCAGCATGGTGGTACACACCTGTAATTATAGCAGTAGAGCACTGGAGGCAGGAAGGAAGATCAGGAGTTCAAGGATGGCCCAGGTTCCAGGAGACTCGGTTGCAAACAAAAACAAAGACTGCTTTTGAAAGCTTCAAGAAAAACAGTTTTGTTTTTTCAAGCACTACATACGTATAAAGGCAAAGGAAGTTAAAAAAAAATCACAGGCAGATGAGGTAATTAAAGGAAGTCATTTACTCCACAGCACACTAAGCCTTGGAAGAAGTAGCTAGGGCAGCAGGAGCTTTCAATTACACTGAAAAACTGAGGTATTAGCTATAGATCAAAAACACTGACGGACCTGGGTTAGTGGCTCATGCCAGTAATCTTAGCACATGGGAAGCCGCAGCAGGAGGATTTGGAGAATTCAAGGCCAACCTGTGCTACGTGGTGACTTGCAGGCCAGCCTGGGCTATAGTGCAATGCTGTCTTTAAAAAGATACTACACTCTTCACCTGAAGCGTTGAGTATGTGGTGAATCTGATATCAAGTTGGTAGAACTTAATTCTTCCAATGGACACAAGCAGAGAAAACCCGGAAAGAGGAAAATAACAAAGCTAAGGGTTTTTTTTTTTTGCTGTTGTGTTGTGTTGTGTTCTGGCATTAAATGGCCAGATAAAGAAAAAGTGGCTGTGAGAGCCAGCCATCAAAGGAGCGTAAATACAGACGAAGGCACAAAGAGCATAAGGGTGCAAGGCTACCTGGAAAGAAGTGATTCAAGAACACACACGCAACACAGTCTTTTTCTTTCAAGTGTGACACAAAATTAGAAAGAATTCCCCAGTGCTAAGAATTGAAGAGGAAGGGGAAAAAAAAAATCAGGGCAAACGAAACAATTTGTAGAGGTCCCCATTCTCAAGTGACCATTGCACGAAGATGGGAAAGGGGGTGGGGGATAGTAGGGTGGGAAAAGCAGAAATAACGATGCCACCAACATCAGTTCTGAAAGACAGTTTAAGAAAGAACATCATGCCGGGCGGTGGTGGCGCACGCCTTTAATCCCAGCACTCGGGAGGCAGAGGCAGGTGGATCTCTGTGAGTTCGAGGCCAGCCTGGTCTCCAAAGCGAGTTCCAGGAAAGGCGCAAAGCTACACAGAGAAACCCTGTCTCGAAAAACCAAAAAAAAAAAAAAAAAAAAAAAAAGAAAGAAAGAACATCATACAAAAGTAAGTGGGGAGGGCTGGGGGAGACAAAATACACCTTTTTTAAAAAAAAAAAGCCAACAGACTGTAGTTGAGCACACCAATGTGTAAAAGACTGGAAGAACCTGCAACCTTTGGCTATCTCTAGGAAATGGACTCATGGGACAGGGGCGGGAGTCGGGGGTTGGGTCTCTGTCTACTTTGCAAGCACTAATCCCAGGAACTTGCCTGAAAGGTTTTGGATATTAAAATGCAAAGTATGAAGTGAAATCCTGTGCTAAGGGGCAAGACAGCTACCTCAGTTTGGTGGGGGGGGGGGGGGGGGATGACGCTCCTGAGGGTGGGGTGTCAAGTCTCAGAGGTGAAGGTCAGCAAGAGCATTATAACACTGGCAGTGCTTCTTGCTTCAGAAATTTAAGGAAAACTAAAATGCTGGGTTACAGGGGAAAAAAACATGTACCATGTTCAGAACTGTCCTCCACCCAGAGCAGGTCACTGGTTTAACAAGTAGGCATTTGAGTCCAGTAACGACTGTAATTTAATCAGTCTTTGGCCCCTCTCCAAGGAAGAACCAGATTTGAATTGAAAGGTGCCACAAGTCTGGAGGTGCTGTGAGTAGGTCCCCAAAAAACTCAGAAGGGACCAAGGGTGGGACAGGAAATGAACCCTTTCCTGCATTCACCAGGGGACAGCTCCCGCAATGTCCCAAGTCCCTGGGGGAGCAGACAGAATAGGAGGGAATGCCAGGGTCTCAGTTTACTCACGCCGGGCGGTCGCCGGCTCATCCCACTCAACAGTAGCTCAGACTATCGCCTGTCCTCGCCGGAGACCTCCAGAAAACTGGACGGAACGAGACACTGGAAAGAACACAGACATCAGGAGGCGGCCTCCCCGGCAGGAGTTCTGGAAAGTCGGCCTGCAGAGCTGGCCCCAGCTGCTAGCCAGCAAGTCCAACCGGTTCACGAACGCTGGTACCCGCCCAGCACAAAGGACATCGTCCTCTTCCAGTGACCAGAGAGGTCTCCGAAGGGATGCGCACGGCCCCCAGACCACAGAGACTGAGCAAAGGCCATGCTGGATCCCCAGACCCTAACAGAAAGCCGGTGAAAAGTGAAGGAAATCCACAAAACCAAACCCACTTCCGCCTCGGCTGGTAAAACGGACCACCCACCCATGACCGCCCCCCCCCAGTGCCACGCCTACTTCCCAGGAGGAAGGAACACCCCCGAGCCTGGGGAACTGGTTTAGGTTAGGAAGTGATGACGTGCCAAGAACCTCAAATGTCACCAAAAACAAAGTACAATATAAAACCTCTAGAAACAGCCATTTCAGCTGAGTGTGGTGACGCACGCCCAGCTTTTTTACTTCTTGTTGTTGTTGTTGTTGGGGGATTGCTGAAGAGAGATCACAAATTGGGGGCCATCCTGAACTACATAGTAAGACCCGGTCAAAAAAGAAAGGCCCATTTTTTACCAGGTCATTCCACACAAAAGCTACAAGTAAAAAGAACTGTTGACCAAAAAGAAAGTTCCGGTAAGGAAAACATTCAGAATCCACTTACAGCTAGGCGGGGAGTGGTAAGACAGGGCAAGCTAGTACAGAGGTTCCTCCATCCTCAGTTCTTGCTGAGGCCATTTCAAGTTTAACTGGAATTTGGACTCTTGGATGGAGAATCCCACGGAAAATTGCCCAACTCTATTCTGGGAACCCAAGTTCAAGGTGCCCCAGCTAGCTTAGCTTTCTGTTAAACGGCCCGCTTGTGCAGACCGCCCCTTCCAGCTAACTGCTTATCCTAGCTTCGGTCAAACTGCTTGCTTAAGCAGAGCGCCAAGCCTCACCCCTACCCCCAAGCCCCGCCCCCAGCTGCCTAGTGAGCTGCTAGGACAATGTCTCCGCCTTCAAACACCCGGTACTGGGGACATTGGAGTGTAGTCTCAGCTGGCCGGAATAAAGATTCAATTGGCTATAAACTACGGCTGAGTGAGCTCCCAGGAACAGTCACCAACAGTGGCACACGCCTTTCATCCTAGCAATGCAATCAGGAGGTAGAGGCAGGTGGCTGGATCCCTGTGAGTTCTAGGCCAGCCTGGTCTACCTAGTGAGTTCAAGGACAGCCAGAGCTACACAGAGAGCCTTGCCTCAGAAAACCAAACCATAAAAATAAATAATAGTGTGCTCACAAACCAAGGTTGTTTGTGATACGGGAGAGCTGAACCTTTTGTTTTGTTCAGAACCTTTTTCAAACTGTGTGTGTGGTGGTGGTGGGGGGGGTTGGGGGAAGTCGTTCTGTCTAAAATATCTAGAGAGATCATCCCTGTTGGTCAAGGCCTGCCTTATGTGACCCCCGCCCCTCCGGACCCCACCCCTCTTAGGGTAAGAACAAATTTCAAAGGTTAACTAACCTGAAAGGATTTATTGAGCCCTTGAGTTCACTTCCAGCTCACCAGAACTTCCTGTAACAGTGGCCTTTGTTTTACGGCATTCCTTTGTTAATGTTCAAGCGAACTTGCCCCTCCCACGCAAATCCAGACCTGGTTAATAAGAGAAAACATCTTGAAACCATCAGAATTCTGCCCGTCTGAAGTGGGTGAAGAGTATCAGGGCCAGGCTTACTTTGAAGGGTGGATAGGTAGACAGACAGACAGACAGACAGACAGACAGACAGATGATAGATAGATAGATAGATAGATAGATAGATAGATAGATAGATAGATAGATAGATAGATAGATAGGAATAAGATAGCATTGAATTCTCGATTCCCAGGGGAAGCGCTACTGGTCATTTGTCAACAATGCTCGAGTGTTCTGGGAAATAGCCAAGGCACTTCACTATGCTCTTCAAAGTCAAACTTCCGAGCACTGAGTAAAACAAACGCACACAACAACCCAGAAAATGACCCCTTTCATCAGCTTTTCAAAAACCGGTAGTTTGGACAGTTCAACTCCAGGAAATGGGTAACTCTCAAGATGCTTGCGCAAGACTATTGTGGCTTGCCCAGCAAAGTGAATCTTCAGGGGTGCTCCCTCCTGTCCTCCGGATGCTCTGTCTACAGTTCCGGAGTGCACAAGGGTCCTTTGAGGGCTACTTAACCCCGGCAGGGGGCTGGCACCACCTGCGGCCCCCTTGCTGGGAACCGCACAGTAGGAGGGGCGAGGCCGCCCTGGACTGCGCTCGGAGCCGGGGAGGCGGGGATCCGGGCTGCCGGTGCCCCGTCCAGGCCGGTGCCCGCGAGGAACTGCAGTCCTCCGTGCCCTCCCGGGCTCCGCCCGCCGTCCGCTGGGCGCCAGCGCGCGGCTGGCAGCGGCCTCCGGGGCCGAGCCACGGTGCGCACCGCGGGGGTGGGATGGAGGGGGTGGAGGGGGGGGGGTAGTAGCGCGTGTGGCGCGCGGGTTCCACCGCGCAGGTCACGTACCTGTCTTGCCCCCAAGTGGCACCTGGGTGGCTCAGATCTCCGAGACTTCGCTCCGGTTGTTTGTCCCGTCTGCGCAGGCAAGATGGAGACACACACGGAAACCGAAAGCTGGCTGCGAGCCTACGTGGCAGCAGGCGCGGCTTCCCTGATCTCCGGCCCCGCAGCCTGGGGAGAAATTAGATTCTAGCCGGGCGGTGGTGGCGCACGCCTTTAATCCCAGCGCTTGGGAGGCAGAGGCAGGTGGATCTCTGTGTCAAGGCCAGCCTGGTCTACAAAGCGAGTTCCTGGGAAGCTGTTACACAAAGACACTCTGTCTCGAAAAACCGAAAAAAAAAAATTAGATTCGGTTGGACTGAGCCAGCCTGTGTGTGCTGGGGACCGAACTCAGGTCCTCTGCCAGAGCAGTAAGCGCCGTAACCGATGAGCGGTCTCCTTAGCCCCTTACTTGATTCTAAGGACAATAAAAGGGCTTTGGCTAGATATGTATGTCACTTTTAATTTGTAGAAATGTTTAAAATACAGAAAAACACAAAATAGCAAACATCTGCTATTTTCTGTCACTCAGAACTGAACATGTGTGCCTCCTTTCTCATCCTTTCCCGTTCTGTGGGATCTGGGGGGGACGGGGGAGATTGGTGGCCAGCAAGCTTCCTGCTCCCTTGTTATCTTCTATTCCCTACTTGCTATTCTCGCAGTAATTTATCTAAGAAGAAGCCGTACTTTTTAAATGACTGGGATATTGACTATTGACTGATAAGTTACCTAGTGACTTATCTCATAACTTGGGAGGCAGAGGCAGGAAGATCAGGCATTCAGAGCCACTCAGGGCTACCTAGAAAGTTCAGGGCTAGCCTGGGCTATATGAGATTTTGTCTAAAAACAAAGACATAGGCTAATAAATCATCTTTCTTTAGATTTAAAGAACCCAGGATGTCTGATAATCTTCCTATAACATCAGAATCTTACCCTTTTTTGTTTTATTTATGAATTTTTATTTGTATTTACTTTTTTTTTTTTTACTATGTATATAATGTTCTGCCTACACACCAGGAGAGGGCACCAGATCTCACTATAGATGGTTGTGAACCACCATGTGGTTGCAGGGAATTGAACTCAGGACCTCTGGAAGAACAGCCAGTGCTCTTAACCTCTGAACCATTTCTCCAGACCGAATTTTTGAAATTTTTTTAGATATAGTATATTTTGATTATATTCTCTCCTTTCACCAAACTCCTCCCAGATCCTCCCCACATCCCTACCCACGCAACTTTATGTTCTTTCTCTCTCCCCCAAATGACCCCAAAGCCAAAAAAAAATCAAAATCCAAACAAACAAAAGCCAATAAACCAAAAAAATCCCAAAGCAAAACAGCACACCCAGAATGAGAGAGACAGGATTCTGTTTTGTGTTGGTCAATCATTCCCACGCATGGGGTGTGACCTGGTGACACTCCTGCTGGAGAAAACTGATTATCTCTTTCCCAGCAGGTATCGATTACACATAGCTTCTTGGTTAGATGGGACTTTGTGTCCACGCCCCCTTCTCAGTGCTGGAATTTTGTCTGTTTTGAGCCTATGCGGGTCTTGCGTAAACTGTCAAAGCCTTCGTGAATTCATAGGTGTCTCAGTCCTAGGCATTCAGAGCCACTCAGGGCTACCTAGAAAGTTCAGGGCTAGCCTGGGCTATATGAAACTTTGTCTAAAAAACAAAGACATAGGCTAATAAATCATCTTTCTTTAGATTTAAAGAACCCAGGATGGCTGATAATCTTCATATAACATCAGAATCTTACCTGTTGTTGTGTTTTAAAGATTTCCTTGGAGTTACCCACTATCTCCATCTCTTACAGGCTTCTGTCTCCTCCATAGATCCCTGAGCCTTGACGGGAGGAGTGTGATGAAGACATCCCATTTAGGGCTGAGGGCGACAACATTTCTCTCTCCACACACTGTCCTGTTGTGGGTCTCTGTATTAATTCCCATCTATTGCAAAAAGAAGCTTCTCTGATGAGGTTGAGCAAGGCACTGATCTATGGGCATGGCAGTAAATCATTAGGAGTCATTTTATTACTTTGCTCTTTTAGTAAAATAATGGTAGTAGATTTTTTCCCCAGGGTTCCTGACCTGTCTGGTCTCGGTCCTTGGCCACTTTAGCAATGCGGTGTGTGGGATCACTGGCATGGAGCGGGCCTCTAATCCAATCACAAAGGGGTTGGTTCCTCCTCCAACATTCATGCTGCTGATGCACCGGTATACCTTGCGGGCAGGTCACTGTCTTAGGTCACCGGCTAGTAAGGCCAACATTATTTAGGATCTTGTGTCTTAGCAGTTTGGTCCCATTCCTAAATCTTAAATGCCCCTCACTAAAATAAAATAAAATAAATCAGCTTATTTTCTAAAAAAGAAAAAAAAAGCAAGCAATTTCGGGGCAAGAAGACGCCTTGCTGTCAAGCCTAGCCACCTCAGCTCCGCCCGTGGACCCCACGTGGTGGAGGGGGACAGAGAAGGAAGGAGAGAACTGTCCCTACAAGTTGTCTTCTGATGTCAGGGCATGTGTGCCCCCACACACAAAGGTAATAAAAAAAACTGAAAGTAAGCCTTTAACCTTTAAACCCTGTGGTAAATGACACTGGAAACCATGTAACGTAAGGGCTGGGCCAGCCGTCCCAGCCAGTGAACCTTTTTCCCTGCCTCCAAAGACCTAAGATGGATTCCCAGAACCCGTGTAAAGGTGAAAAGAACCCACCCCATAAAGGTGGCCTCTGACCTTCACACATGTGCCAGGCCATAGGCATACCAGTGAATACATGGAACACACAAAATAAGAAGTAAAAACATAAAGTATGTGACTTAGAAAGGAAAAGGATGTATAGCCTCGGAAAGATAATAAGGCGTAACTGTCTCACTGTTTCCATGAGCATCTGTCTCTACTAACCTCTGTTCTTACAATTTATGGTCAAATGTATTTTAACCTCAGCCTTCCAAATAGCTGGGGTTCTAGGCCTGTGCCCACCGGACCCAGCTCAAAATTTTAATCCATTCATTCACTCACACGTTATTATTTTTCTTATGTTTCAAGGTTTGTTTCTCATTCTTTTTTTTTTTTTTTTTTTTTTTTGGTGTTTCGAGACAGGGTTTCTCTGTGTAGCTTTGCGCCTTTCCTGGAACTCACTTGGTAGCCCAGGCTGGCCTCGAACTCACAGAGATCCGCCTGGCTCTGCCTCCCGAGTGCTGGGATTAAAGGCGTGCGCCACCACCGCCCGGCTTGTTTCTCATTCTTACAGAGTTCTTAGAAACCATACTTAGATAACTAACATTTAACCGCGTATCTATGCCCTGTTTTCTATAGGAGAGAAAGCTGAGAAGACAAAAATGTTGTGCCCAGAACTTCTGAATGATGTAAAGAGTCCCCCCCACCCCCACAAAAAAATCTAGCAACATACCGTCCCCAAATTCATCTTATGAACCCCATCAAGATTTTACCACATCACACTTAGTCTAAGAGTAACTCCATCTTGTTATAAATACACTTTTCTTCTACCATAAAGTCATAGACTCAGAAAGTTTTATAGAAACTTAGCTATTCCCCCTTATTATTATTATTTTTAATATGGAATGCAGCCGGGCAGTGGTGGCACACGCTTTTATCCCAGCACTTGGGAGACAGAGCCAGGCTGATCTCTGTGAGTTCGAGGCCAGCCTGGTCTACAGAGTGAGATCCAGGGCAGGCACCAAAACTACACAGAGAAACCCTGTCTCAAACCCCCTCCCACCCCCCAAATGGAACAATTCATGAATTTGTGTGTCATCCTCGTGCAGAGGCCATGCTAACCTTCTCTGTCTCGTCCCAATTTTAGTCTGTGTGCTGCCAAAGCGAGCACTTCCCCCTTATTCTTAATGAAGAGACAAAAGGAGTTGTGTACTGTTAAGATTTCATCGTATTTTCCTGTTGCTCTATATCTTCTCTCTTTTTTATTTTTGAGACAGGGTCTCACTATGTAGCCCTGGCTGGCCCAGAACTCAGAGTGATCCATCTGCCTCTCCCTCTTCAAATGCTGGGACTAAAGGTATGCACCGTGAATCACCACACCTGGTTCTCTCTCTCTCTCTCTCTTTCTGAATGATTATATATGTATGTATATATAATTTTTATTTTGCTGTAAATGTGTGTCTGTGTGTGTGTCCACGTGTATGTGGCTACCCAAGGAGGAGGCCACATCAGATCCCATGGAACTAGAGTTACAGCTGTTTGTGAAACATCTGGTCCACATCTGGGAACCAAACTCAGGTCCTCTGGGAAAGCAGCAAGCAGTCTTAGCTTTGGAACCACCTTTCCAGACCCAGCCCTGTATTTTCTAAGACATTAAAAAATCCTTTTCATAATCTTTAAAATTTCTAGCTCATCACAGAAATGTTACATTCTGATTTTAGGGTTTCCTCCAAGAAATTTTCAAGGCAGTTGACATAAAATAAGGACAATACCCAATATGATGTTGAAATTCTGCCTACTTTCACTAGTGAAAGCACATTTGATGGGAAGGTTGTCCACACCAGGAGCTATCACAAGCCTGAAGGGGTTAAACTCTCTCACTTTCACAACTGAATTACGTTCCCGTTCTCTGAGAAGGACAAACAGGTGTCTTTTCCAACAAAGGGTCACTTATCTATGAGGCCCTTACATTCAGGGTCGAGGGGAGAGAACGAACACTGAGGGAGGGTCTAAGTCAGCCTCACAGTGTCTCAAGGACAAACCCAGCAGCCCCTTCTGAGTCACGGCCAAGCTTGTGCAGACGTGTCCAGGAATGAGAAGACTGAACCTCAGCCAATTAGAAATAGACTAATGTAACTGCTGCTTGCTTAACCAATTATGTAGCTGACCCTGAAACTCCCCTGAGCTGTGCTTAAAGGGAGCCTGCATGGCCCCCTCGGGGTCGTCACCATTTAGCACAGGTGAACGACCCCACATGCAGGCTGGTGTGATAAACGTTCTTTGTCCTTGTATCCTGGTTGAGTCTGGGTCTTCCTTCAGCATTTCCTCGGACCCTACAAGCCTGCTCAAGAATGGTACCATTAACTAGACCGGTATGACAAATTTCACAAGCCAGCGTGGAGCCAGATCTTTCTAGGACGGCATGAGCGTAAAAATCAGTTCCTAAAACATCTTTCATCTTTTGTAGTCAGTTCTTCTCCTTATCCCACAAACATACATTATCTTTACTCCAAGCGTTTTGTTTTGTTGTTTTTTTTTTCCATGTGGTCGGTCAGCTCCGAAAAAGGCAGCGTCCAGGGGCATGCATGGGGCTGTCCTCTGTTTTCAGAGGAGCCTCGTCTCCTAATGCAATTGTTCTCAGAATTGCACTTGGAGTTTTTCTGGCTGAAGTACCCAGATCTCATCCATTTATTCCATAACATCCAAAAATGCTTTCAGTGATTCTGATGCTGCCAAAAAAAAAAAAAAAAAAAAAAAAAAAAAAAAAAAAAAAAAAAAAAGCCTGACTATGAATGCTTATTAGGAAGCCCCATGGTGTCCAGGAAACAGACAATGGAGCTGTGTCTTAGGGTTACCATTGCTGCGATGAAACATGATCAAGAGCAACTTTGGGAAGAAAGGGTATGCTTGGCTTGGATATCCTGAATCACAGATTGCTGAGGAAAGCCAAGACAGGAACTCAAACTGGTTGGGAACTTAGAGGCAGGAGCTGATGCAGAGGCCATGGAGGGGTGCTGCTTACTGGCTTGCTCCCCATGGCTTGCTCAGCCTGCTTTCTTACAGAACCCAGGACTACCATCCCAGGGATGGCTCCACCCACAATGGGCTGGACCCTCGCGCATCAATCACTAATTAAGAAAATGCCCTAGAGGCCTGCCTACCGCCTGATCTTAGGGAGTCAATTTCTCTACTGAGGCTCCCTTCTCTCAGATGACTCTAGCTTGTCTTAAGTTGATATGAAACTAGGAAGTGCCGGGCGGTGGTGGTGGCGGCGGCGGCGGCGGCGGCGGCGGCGGCGGCGGCGGCGCACGCCTTTAATCCCAGCACTCGGGAGGCAGAGCCAGGCGGATCTCTGTGAGTTCGAGGCCAGCTTGGGCTAAAAAGCGAGATCCAGGACAGGCTCCAAAGCTACACAGAGAAACCCTGTCTCGAAAAAAAAAAAAAAAAAAAAGAGAGAGAGAGAGAAAGAAAGAAACTAAGAAGCACAAGCTGTGAACGCCAAGAAACAACCTGCCGATTCTGAGCGTATTTAAACTTAGAGTAACACGTTCTCTCCACCGGGGCATCTCCTCATTTTAACTCAATGACGCTGGGGTAAGTAAGTATACATCCGTAAAGTTTATCCCAATCCACAGCCCCTGTCTCAAACAAGGCAGTGAGGAGGAGAGGGAGTGTCTGAGACTCCGAAAGCCATCTTAAACTCCATAATAGACCAGAGCCCGCTGCCTCCTCCGTTAGACTGATGGGTTCAATTTCATCTTTCTCTCAGCTGCCAACCACACAGCAATCCTCCAGTCTTCAGTCCGAGGTCTCTGGGCAACAGTGTTAAAAAAGTGGAAGCCTCCTTCCCGAGCCAATGAATCTTTCATAGGCTATTATTGTCTTGAAGTACTTGATGTCCCAGGAGCCTGGAGAAGCTTTCATCTGGGTGAGGACTTGGAGATGGAGCAATTTGGCATACACCTTCACCCATATACATTACCATCGATTTATGAGTTTATACTTTCATCCGTGGGTGAAAATCTGTGTCAATCAATACTTCCTTTGATATTCATCCTGTCTCCTATTTGGTCCAGGGAAGGCCTTTCAAGTTGACTCTGTTCCTTTGGGCCTTTGAACACTCCCTTGATGGCTATCATATCCGAATGTTCCACCAACTGTTTCCATGCTCCAGTCCTGGAGTCTGTTGTTTCTTCAGGAGTTTTTATTCCTTTTAGTTAAGCATTTAGCATTTAGAAGCCAAGATTCAGAATCTATATATGCTCAATGATTTTTGTTTTGTTTTGCTTTCTGTTTTTGTTCCCCCCTCCCCCCAAGATAGGGTTTTCTCTATGTAACAGTCTTGGCTGTGCAGGAACTCACTTTGTAGACTAGGCTGGCCTCGAACTCACAGAGATCCACCTGCCTCTGCCTGTCCAATGCAGCTGTGAGAGCAGAGAGCCCTGAGCTCAGGCGGGGTAGAGTTTTTAATCATAGCTTTGAACTTCTGATTCTCTTGCTCCAATTTACCAAGTGTTTTGATAAGAGATGTGTGCTACATACTCGGCTGTGATGGTGTGTTTTGTACTAAAATGTTTGGGAAGAAAACATTGTGCTGGGGTTGGGGATTTAGCTCAGTGGCAGAGTGCTTGCCTAGCAAGTGCAAGGCCCTGGATTCGATCCTCAGCTCCAAAAAAAAAAAAAAAGAAAAGAAAAGAAAACACTGTGCTAAGTGAAAGAATCTGAACAGAAGAAACTTCACAGTGTGTGGATTATTTATACAAAATCCTAGAGCAGACAAAACAAATCTGTAGTACATTAGTGGCTGCTTGGTGGCAGCAGAAGTGATTATAGATGAGCAGGAGATGTGAGGGGCCCAAAACAGCTTGACCACACAGCAGCTATGACAGGCTTAGAGGCCCAGACACAGCTTCTGTCACAGGCTTACTGACAGGCAGCACCCAGACCCAGGAAAAGCCTTAAGCTGACTCCACCCAGGGAGGGCCTACATCTAAGGGGAAGTACCTGTCATCCCAAACATTCCAACCATTAGATAAGGTGGCCAGATGTCCTTGAGTCTAGCACACACCTATTTCTGTTTTACAGATACCCCTAGACAATTGTCAGCCAATCAGGGTCATGAAACCCGGAAATTCCCTCACCCCAACCTCTGCTATGATAAAAATTCTACCCCACCTGAGCTCAGGGCTCTGTGTTCTCACAGCTGCATCAGACAGACAAAGTGACCAAGCTCCGAGCTTGAAATAAAGGCTCTTTGTTTTTACATATGGGATTAGGTCTCCGGTGGTCTTTTGGGGGTTTCCCTTGATCTGAGCATAACAGGAGGAAATTGGGGATGTGTGATGGAAATATCCTGTATTTTCAGCTAGATGGTCAGTATGCGTTTGTCAGAAGTCACTGGACTACACACTTAAAGTGAGTAATTTATATAAATCATGTACTGATGAAACTGATTTTTACTTTTACTACTAACAGACAAGTGAAAGCACATTGGATGTGCTAATCGCCTAAGTGTCTCTACTGCATTTGGGGCATCTCAGTGGAAGGTCTGGCAGGTGAAGCTGTGTCCTTGCAAAATGTCCAGGGTCAAGGTACTGAATCTTCCTTTTAAACTGCCAGATTTAACAGACATCTTCTCCTCCTTTTACAACAGGGTCTCCTGGACCCAGACTAGCCTGGGAATACTCATGTAGTCAAGGGTGACCTTGAACTTCTGATCCTCCTGCCTCCACCTCCCAAGTACTAGGGTTACTGGTGTGTGCCCCCATACTTGATTAATGGCGTGCTGGGGATCAGCCCTAGGGCTTTGTGCATGTTAGACTAGCACTACCCACTCAGCACCTGCTAAGCCACGCCCCTAATCCTGGCAGACATAACTCCTGCAACTTCCTTCTGCCTCCAGAAGGAAGGTGGGCCTGCAGGGAAGCCCACCCCCAACCCCCAGTGTGGGGTGGGAAAAGATTGATGAGACTTTCCTAACCCTGCAGGCACAACTTACTTTACCTTCTCGCTCGCTCGCTCTTTTTTTTATTTTTTTTTTCGAGACAGGGTTTCTCTGTGTCGTCCGGGCTGTCCTAGAACTTGCTCTGTAGACCAGGCTGGCCTCGAACTCACAGAGATCCTCCTGCCTCAGCCTCCCGAGTGCCGGGATTAAAGGCATGCGCCACCGCC